GCGGGAAGGCATCTCCAAACGTCCCTCCGCGAGTCTAGAACTTCGTTGCTTCTACGACGAAGCCTTCTCAATCAGGACCTTGCCTATCTCACTGCCATCTTTGGTTAGTAAATCTAGTGACACTTCCCGCGAAACCTATCATGATGTTCTGCCTGGGTCTGTACGGAACAGCGGTGTAGCATTCATTATCGTGGTAACAAATTTCTCTCTTGGACAATGGTGCCATGGTGCGATGTTCGAGTTTCATGGCAGTGTGTCCTCGCTGGCGTCTGATTGTCGTCTCCCTCGAGCGGGCGCGCTTTTGAGACAAATGAACCGCGGACATCTCGGTAAAGGTGTATTCACACGAAGGACCTTGTCCGCGGACAAGTTCCTACGAAAGGCGTGACGTCACCTCTTCTGAAGTATGAAATCGGCCATGTTTCTGGCGAAAACAGCAAGCAAAACCGAGGGACATGTCCATGGACCTGAAGAACGTGTCCTCAGACCTGATGTATTTTGCGTATCACGTGGGCGAACGTCACAGAATATGTCCGCGGACCTGCCGGACCACGATTATAGGAGTTTTGAACGCGATCCAATTCTGCCTTTTTTCGAGTCCGCTGTGGCCCGCGGACAAGCCCAGGAACCGATCGCGTGAAAGTGCTCGTGGCACAGTTCGTTGCACGAGCGGTTTTCTCTTTTTTTATATGCCTCTCACGGTTCTCGTACACTTATGGGCCTTTGCTCATTTTCCAGTACGATTAGTACGCACGAGCTACAGCTGTGGAAGATGCTTGAGGGCTCGTGCGCATAGTGAAAAGAGAAGTCGAAAAGAAAAAGAATGAAAACGTCTGGAATATGTTTTCGTTTCGAACATGGAGGTATACAAGGCTTCACGAGTTGTTGTGGCTTGTGCACTCAAGTTGGCGGATGAGGAAGTCGGGGAATTTGTTTTCACAGCTCTGATTTTATGTCTTTGTTGCGGTACTGGTCATTTTGAAGGCACCAAAGTTGTGGAAACTCTTCTACAAGTGCAATTAAAAACAGCGTCGCTTCATCGCTGAAGGCCTTCATCGTTGTCGCCTTCAATCATCCATTCGTTCATCAGATGCTGGCGGGATTGGAATCGACCGACCGCCACGTGGCGTTGCGTGGCCGTTCTCTTGTAGCTTGGAGCGCAAAGAAGCACAACCAAGCCTCTCGGCGCGAGGTGAGTGCGTTGGGCAATACCAATCCTGAACAGTATAGCTCGTGCATTGAGGGCAGCGAGAAAGGTACGAGCTCGGACTCGCAGTTCTCGCCTTGGTTCACGGCAACCATGGAGTATTAATTCGCATGTCCTCAGACTTGCCCTTGTCCGCGGACTTGTCCAGTGTGACGTCGAAGCCGCGTGATACGCATATTTCACAGGTCCGCGGACATCCTTCCCGGAATTTGTCCGTCGTGTGAATACACCTTAAGTGACCAGTCCGTCCGCGGATCAATCCGTCGTGTGAATCGACCATAAGAAAAACGCCTATAAGGAGTATTCACTGGCGGCCATAGCTACGTCTGCTGCTGGTGAGCGCGAGCTGACGTTAAGCTTCGTCACTGCTTTTGCAATGTGGAAATTTCCCCATAAAGTTTGCCAGTCTCAGCAGCCTAGAAGTATGAACGCGATCTGAGCCTGTGCATCAAAGAGCCACTCAGTGATTACCCCCATGAGTTGCCAAAATCGGTAATGTTGATGGTTTCGAAAGCACATGGCAAAATTGTCGTGGAGGCTATCTGTCGGCTCGAGCTAAGCAACCACATACTTAGCTATGACCGCCTGAAAATAACCCCTCTAATTATACTGGCATATTTTATATTTCCCCCGAAATACGTCAGATTCTACATTTTGTGTAGGCGTATTTCGAAAAGTAGTTTTTTTTAAGAATGTTAACCCTTAGTGGTGACTGGTTACACAGAAGTGTTATTTCCCCATAATGACATCACACACCGGAATTTATCGCGCAGCAGGAGGATGGCTCTTGTTGCATGGGTAACAGCACCAATATTGCCTTGCCCTTGAACAAAGACATAAAGATGGGGTGGTCTTTGAAGCAGCTTCCTCACCTCAGCCTGTGCCTTGTCCGTAGGGTTGGCCTTCTGCATATTGAAACCGTCGAGGAGAAACTATCCCTCAATGAGCTGCTCGACTGACTGAAGCGTTGAATCACGGCAGCTGAAATGAATAGAACCCAGAAGCGCGCGCCACTCCCGTGCTCGTGTTATCTGTCTCGAGACTCGACCGTCACGTCCACTATGCCACGCTTAAAGGAGCGATGCAATAATTTTTGTGCTTTCAATAAATACTCTTTTCAGACCAAAGTAACGTTGTTTCAGACGGTGCCCCAAAGCTCCTTGTCAATAAATGTCCTTTCCGCTAATGTGTATTCTCTAAGGGAGCTGCCGTCACACAGCCGGCAAAATTATATTTGCCACCGATACTGATTGTTCTGGGGCTGGCCACAAAGAGCTTAAACCAAAATTATAAGTATTTTAATATATTTATATTCGTTTAAGTTAAGGCTATACAAGTTTGTAATTTTTTATTAGCAATTATTGAGTAGCAGACAATTCAGATACGAAACATTCGCAAGAAACCTTCTCATAGCCAGATGTTGGCAACCACGGGTGTGCACTAACATTGGGCTATTACCTGAAACCTTGAAATCATTGGACATTTGTATCTTACCATAGTTAATGTAATTACTCATGCCTGAGTTAAACGTTTAATACCAGCACTATCTTAATCAAGAGTAGCGCGCAAGCGAAATGGCAAATCTGAGAAGCACGAAGAGGAAGAATACACAGGTCGTCTCTGACACTGTTAAAAATTATAAATGGTAACGAAAACGTTTCATACAGGTATAGTGCCTCAACCAACGCCCGAAAAACTCATGCCGAGGTCTGCCTACCTGCAGGGAGACAAAATGATGCCCTAGCTCGCCTCCAATGCCGTTCGCGCCTACTGCCCAAAGTACTTCCTTTGTGCTAAAGGACGCTAGTATGGTGGGCAAGAAGGGCAGATGGGACAAACGTTCGCTTCGTCAAGCGGGAGAACATGGCAAGTGTAGTATCGTGGGTTTTACCGCGTGAGCAGCCAGGACGACGATGCGCAAGCCTGACACGCAAACCAGAGAGCAGCACGAGCGGGGACTCTGGAGCATGCTGCGCTTCGAGCGTATTCTATCTTTTCTGCCTTATTAAAGGTGCATCCACACGACGGACCGGGCCGCGGACCAATTGATCACGTGATGCGCGGCCCGCGGGCCGCCCGGCTGCAATGAGCATCCACACGGCGGACCAAAAGAGCAGACGACAGAGCGAACGGGTCGGTCTAACCCTCGACTTCACAGCTCCACCAAACGCACGCAGCGAGCTGCTTTGAGGCTGTTTGTAAGGAGCCAAGATGGAGGTTGAACGAAAGAGACGTTTGGCCGCGGTGCCCCTGGCGTTGACTTATGAGAACGAGGAAGACTTAAGTGAAGCGTAAAAGGCATGGGAACATCTTTAGATGATTATTTGAGTAGTCGTCGCGACTATTGTCCCACAGAGCGGGGAATCGCTCCACGAGCGCGATGAAGTAAAAAGTTGCATCGTCGCTCAACAAAAGGTTCGTCTTCTTCATCTTCAACAGTTGGCGCCAAAAGAAAATGACTTTGGATTTGGATTCCAGTGCAAACAACAAAAGTCAGCTTGTTGCCAGACCTAGCGCTTCAATTATACTAAAAACGCCGCACACGACGGACCAAATTGCTGCTTTAGTCCGCGGGCCGCGCATCACGTGATCTTACGACACCGGTTTTTGAGGTCCGCCGGCGGTCCGCGGCCCGCGCTTCTGAGAAATGCCAAGCGACTTTTCTCGCCCGGACCTCGGCGGCGGACCGCGGCGTTTTTAGTACAATTGAAGCGCTAAGTCTGGCAACAAGCTGACGCTTGTTGTTTCGATTGGAATCCAAATCGAAAGTCGTTTTCTTTTGGCGCTAACTGTTGAAGACGAAGAAGACGAACCTTTTGTTGTGGAACGATGCAACGTTTTACTTCTTCGCGCTCATGGAGCAATTCCCCCGCTCTGAGGGACAATAGTCGCGACGACTACTCAAATAATCAACGAAAGATGTTCCAATTCCTTTTTCGGTTCACTGAAGTACTCCTCGTTCTCGGTAGTCAACGTCAAGGCCACCGCGGCCAAACGTCTCTTTCGTTCAACCTCCATCTTGGCTCCTTACAAATAGCCTCAAAGCAGCTTACTCCATGCGTTTGGCGGAGCTGTGAGGTCGAGGGTTAGACCGACCCGTTCGCTCTGTCGTCTGCTCTTTTGGTCCGCCGTGTGGATGCTCATTGCAGCCGGGTGGCCCGCCTGCCGTGCATCACGTGATCAATCGGTCCGTGGCCCGGTCCGTCGTGTGGATACACCTTTATTAAACCCAAGATCCTGGGTTCTGCAGCGCGAGCTTTCACTCCACGTGCACCGAGCTGGTGTGCGCTAGCCCACTCGGCCACCGATCTCCCCGCCATTCGCTTTCAAGGGCCGCTCATTTCAGTGCTGCGACGCCATTAGTTTCTAAGGGCAGCTCGAGACACGGGACACGTGCACTGGCGCGTTCGACGCTAATTGCAGCAGAAACGCAAATATATCGAAGTGCTTTAAAGTCAAGTAAAAACAAGTTGGACTTAGCGCCCCCTATAGTTCGAACTTCAAGCCAATAATGAAGATCGGGTGCTTTAATCTGGTTCTTTGGCGAAAAAAAAATCGGCAAGGAATTTGACCGCCGCTATTAGACGGCGCCAAGCTCAAGCGCCACGCCGGCGAATCACGGATGCAGGATTCCCCGTCGACTTCTTCTCGAAGTGTTCCGTGGTTGGTTCGGCCGGGAAGCAACAGCACCCGCGTGCTTGCATCTGTTTATTCTCTGGTCGTTGATTGGGAACATTGACGAGTCCTAAAAAAGACAAAAATCTCGCTACGACGTTGAAGCGTAGAAGTGGAAGAGAACGAATCGACTCGGCGTTCTTTTCATGTCAGCCCAGCTTTAGACCAACCACGCAGCAACAGACTGCGAATTCGAATAGCCCTGAACCATTCGAGATATTCAAGTTCATCGCAAACAGCGGTGGCGGAAGGCCATGGACACGACGAGCATGATCCATCGCACGCTGGTCGTGGAACAAGGCGTACAACCCCCGGATGGCGGCTGGGGCTGGGTGGTGGTGCTGGCAGGCTTTGTGTGCCACGTGGTGGTCGACGGCATAATCTACTCGTCCGGGGTCTTCTTTGACGAATTTCTCAGCTACTTCGGCGAGGGACACGCGCTCACCTCCTGGATCGCCTCCATCCTCATGGGCTCCTACTTCATCTCCAGCCCGATTGCAAGTGGCTTGACCATCCGGTATGGCTGCCGAACGACGGTCATCACGGGCTCGCTCCTGTCCGCGGTGGGCCTCTTCCTTAGCATCTACGCGCCCAATATCCTCTACCTGTACTTTTCCTTCGGGCTCGTGGCCGGAACGGGATTCGGCCTCATCCTGCTGCCGGCCGTGGTGTGCGTGTCCACTTACTTCAATAGGCGTAGGTCGCTGGCCACGGGCGTGACGGTTTGCGGCTCCGGCGTAGGCACCTTTGTGCTGGCACCGCTCGTCCAGCTCCTGATCCGTCTGTACGGCTGGAAAGGCACGCTCATCGTGTGCTCGGGGCTCTCGCTCCAGGGCGTAGTGGCGGGCCTCCTGATGCGGCCGGTGCAACCAGCGTCGCCCCTCGCATCCCGGGAGCCCTCGTCATCGTACGAGCCCGCGGAGCGGTCATCGACGCTTTCGAGACACCTGGCCGTATACGAGTTGCCCGTTCGCACTCCTTCAACGGACGCGGGCGTGCAACTGCAAATGGTGGGCGAAGGAGCCGAGAGTTTTCATACGCACGTGAGGCTCCGCAAGGACCTGTTCTACGCGGGCTCGCTGCCGGAGGAACAGCGGCAGCCCGTCATGTCTTTCTTCGCCACCGACAGCACTCTGCTTGACTCCCCGGACCACTCCCACGTAATCACCCTCGTCGACAACCGGAACCTTCTCTGCAGGACGCTCTTCTCGTACCAGATGACGGCCGCATTCTACGAGATGCTCGACTTCCGGCTATTCGGCGACCGGGTCTTCCTGGCCTTCGCCTTGTCCCGCTTCCTCTGCGGCCTGGGGTACAGTGTGCCCTACCTGTTCCTGTCTAGCATGGCCGTCGAACTGCTCGCTGTCACCGCGGCAGAGGGAAGCTTTCTGGTGTCGCTGATCGGCCTGAGCAACGTACTGGGCCGCGTGCTGGTGGGCGTGGCATCAGACAGCGTGGGCCGAGGCCGCCTCTGGCTGTACATGGCCTGCGTCGTGACGTGTGGCCTGTCCACCGTCCTCTGCGTCATGTGCACCTCGTACTCCTGCCTGATAGTCTACACGGCCGTGTACGGCGCTGCTAGTGGGGGCTTCATCACACTCAGCTCGATTGTGGTCGTTGATCTGGTCGGACTCAACAACCTCACAAACGCGTACGGCTTGAGTCTGCTCTGCATTGGAGTGGCTGCCCTTGTTGGACCGCCACTTAACGGTCTTATCCATGACGTGTTTGAGTCATACATGCCCGGATTTCTGTTGGCTGGAGTCAGCCTCTACGTGGGGGGCGTGACCCTGCTAGCGGTGCCTTACCTGCAGAGTGGCCGCAGGCGCCGTGGCAGACACGTAATTTTTCACTCGAATGCCTGACGTCCGGGGTATTCATAAACGCCTGAAGCCGGGACGTCAGTATATATACCTATATACTATGCTCAATAGATCATCAGGACTGCCGAGCTTCCTGCATGCAGCTTGGCATCGCATGTTCTTAACGAAAGATTTCTTTTTCTAGACGCTATAAACAAATAAACGAACAATTCCACGAGATGCTACTTTCTGTACTAGGGCACGTCATATTTCCAAGTTACCGGTGAGACACCAGCTGGGGTTTAGAGTGTAGTACGTGGGTTTTTGCATTTGTTCAAGCTTGCAGAGGGTACGTCACAACCTTAGCTACGGGCTTGATTTGGTTACATGGTTACATGTACAAAAGGCGTGACGGCAGGTCAGGAGAGTTCACACGTATCAATGCCCCTTGATGAAGAGCCCTCCCTTTGAAAGTAATAAAAATTGCCCGAGCAATCTTCAGATATATCAAAGTCAGTCAAATGAAAACCATCATTTTTTTTGCTCCAAATTTCTTAAGCACGCAGGAGCACATATTTATACATCATTTTTTGCAACTTCCGTTTTTTCCTTATCCGGGCACATCAATGCCGAAGCACTTTCTTCGGTTTAGGAATAAACGTGTTTTATTTTGGGGTTTTTAATTTGTATCAAATCGTTTTCGGTTTTGTTGAGCAAATGTAAATTCCGTCAAAACGACCGGTATTGTGCTTATCAATGCACTGCGCGATTGCGAGAAGCTGTGAACCAACACTTACAAGTGAATATGCTTTGTTTTCCGCTTGATAAACATCGGTGTCTTCACCGTCGCATTTGAACCGCGGTGCGATCATGTCGTGCTGTAGAAACGCAGCCGTGTCAATAAGACGCTGCTGGACATCCAGTATACAACGTGGTCGATGATACTTTCATTCACGAAATGAAACGCCGAGTCTGCCAGCTCAGGAGGTTTTAATGAGCACATCAAAATATTTAGTAATTTGAATATATCAACAAATAACTTGACCTGTAGTATTTTATAATTTATTGTGTCCATAATGCGGGAATCTGCGCGCTTCACGATAAGACATTGTAAAGTATAAGAAAAATAAATGTTTAAATGTCACTTACCCAGTAACGCACAGTGCCCAGAAAAGACGGTCAGGCTCTTCCGCCAGAATGCGTACACCGCACGTCTTGCTATATTCCTACCCCATATATTATCCATGTTGTGTATGCCGCCTGTCCAACTATATAATAATTGAATTGATTCCCATGCCTCTGTGCTTCATACGAAGCACAGAAAAGGGTTCTTTTACAAATAGTACTAGCGTCTTAAAACGTTGCGGGAACTTTGACCTACGACCACCAGCCCCCAGTACATCCCGGCTTAGTATGAACTTACGCCCCAGCAACGCAGTCGTAAGTCACCGTGCCCTAGTCAACCACAGCTACGAATCGGTCTGAACTCGCGGTCGTATCTCGACGTATATCTGTAAAACTTTTCATAACGCTGTAAAATGCTACGTCGTCTTCGTCTCGGGTCAGGACACTTACGGGTACGGGTAAAAACGCTGATATTTATTAATATCCTTGCATTTGTTGTGTTGAAAGTTTCGATTAGTTTAGCACCTCATGAACGTTTGCCTGTAACGAGCTCAATCATTTAGGGGAAAACACCAATATTACGCACTCGTAACTGCGCAAGCCCGTAGCAGAACATTCCGATGCAAAAATACATAGCCTCCTCTATACTCACAAAGCCTGGCAGTTCGACGACGGAACCATAGAGTGCCCACTGGCAGCTTTGGAGCGCGAGTATCTGGTACCAGAGAGCAGTTGTGGGGGAAGCTGGTATTCAGCGCACAGCTTTTGCAGCGGCGAGGACCCGAAACATGTTTTTTAAACCCGACGAGAAAAAAAGTGGTACCGGAAAAAACGCGAAGAGCACGAGTGGACATTCTATCGCTCGAAAGAAGTGTGTGTTTCGGCGTCTCGCCACAGCGGGGCGCCCGTTACATTCCTCTCCTGTGTACAGTAAGCATGAAAAGTATATAATAGGTAAGGGCAACAGAAATGCAGCTGTAATGAAAAATAGGGCACTTTGGTATTACAACAGGTATGAGGGGGTGAGAGAGATTTGGAAAGGGGTGATGGTGCCTGGATTGGCTGTTGGAAACAGTGGCGTACCAACTTGTTTTTGAGTGGGGGGGCAAACCAGACCCTCTCCCCCCCCCCCCCCCAAATCGAAAATTCGGCGCAACTTTTGTTGAACTTTTCTAAAGATTTGGCAATGATAAGGCAAAATTACAACGTTACCAGACTTAACATTGATATTTAGTTTTTTCTCACGAAAAAGATGTTGCTTTTCTTCTTAAAATAAATACAACTTGTAGTGCCTATTGAAACAGTTATGACTAAATAAGGTGATATTCTAGAAGATAATTGTATCTATGTCGCTTTTGTGTGTTTACTGGCAATTTTAGTGTTTGCTTGCAGAAAGTGGCGTGACAACGAGGTTGGGTAGTAGCCGGCGCAGTCACGAATCACACTACGAGAGTTTTGATTTTGAGGCTTCATCGGCGCACGCCTGCAAGTGTGTTTACATTGTTAAAATAAAGGCAATCACTGCGTTCTTACTTTCTCTGGGAGTCACCGTTTCGTGCGCGAAAACGGATGCAACGGTTGTTGAGCCTTCACCAGAAGAGATAACAATACTGTAAATATGCATGTTTTTCGATTTGAGTCACTTGAAGTCAGCTTTGCATGAAAGTGCGCGTTCCATATTCGCAACGTGCCATTTTTAACCTTTAAAATTCCGGTTTCTGGGGTTAGGACACACACGGACGTTTAGGAAGATGGGGAGAGTTAGGAATGTCGGATGTGCAACGTCGAGGCATGATAGTTCTGTGTTAACGAATACTTTTCATCAGTGTTTACTAACGAGTGCTTGGACTCCGTCCCCACTCTCCCTGAAGAGCTTTACGAGCGCATGAATCCTATTAACGTTAACTCCGCCGGTATTAAAACATTGATTGATAAACTAAAACTTACTTCGTCCGCTGGAACCGATAACATCAACTCTAAACTTTAAAAGAGCACCAGTGTTATTTCTAGTGAGTATTTGAAACGCATCTTTATTCAGTCCTTATCTCAAAGCTGCCTTCCATCTGACCAAAAGGTGGGAAGGGTAATTCCCAGTCTTTAAACAGGGCAGCCGCTCTTCCGCATCTAATTATCGCCCTATTTCTTTGACTTCAATTTCTTGCAAACTACTTGAGCATATCCTCTACTCCAATATCATGAGGCACCTATCATCCCATTTCTTTTCTTTAAACAGAAGCACGGTTTTCAAAAGGTACTTTCCTGCGAAACACAGCTCTGCGACTTCATCCATGAGTTGCACACTAACCTTGAATGTCACGTCGAAACTGACGCAGTTTTTTTTTTTTTCCAAAGCGTTCGGCCGTGTCCTCCATCAACGCCTTCTTTCTAAGCTATCATCTTTTTGCCTCGACCAATAACCGTTTGCATGGATTCGTGACTTTCCTTTCTCCCATGTACAGGTCACGTCCATAATGATCATGAATCTTCATTAGTAAATGTATCTTCTGGTCTTCCCCAGGGGTTCGTACTGGGCTTTCTTCAAAAATACGCTTTTTCGCCGACGACTGCGTCATCTATAACAAAGTAACTTGTGTGCAAAATAATAACCAGCTTCAGGAAGATCTAGATAAAATTAACAATTGGTGCAAAGAGTGGATTATGTCATTAAACAGGTATAAACGCAAACTAATCCACTTCACCAAGAAAAAAACCACTCTGTCATTTAATTACTTCTTGGACTCCAATCTGATTGAGACCGCTACTGTGTATAAATACCTTGGTGTAAGACTAACATCTGACCTTCCCTGGAATAACCACATTGAAGTCATAACTGCCGATTCATCTGGAACTCTTGGACTAAGCAGACGTAACTTAAAAAAACGCTCCACCCTTTGTCCGTAAGCTAACCTTTGACACATACGTCAGACCCAAAAATAGAATATGCTTTAACCATCTGGAATACCCATCGACCGTACCTCATCAATACCCTATAGAGGCACTTCAGAACAGAGCTGCTCGCTTCATTTCATCCACTTATGACTTTTTTTTTTCACTTTCTCAGCGCTAAAAACTGAACAAACCATGTCCTCTTTGCAGCTTCGCAGAAAAGTCTCTCCGCTGTGCCTTATTCACAAAATCTACTACCACATTCCCGACCTCAAAACCACTTTGTTATTACCCCCCGACCAAACATCTTCTCGCCTCAACAACGTCTGCACCATCAAGCACATTTCTGACTCTACTAACGCTTTCAATTGGTCATTCCTTTCTCAAGCCATCAGCCACTGGAACAGTCCCCCATCCTCCATTGTCACCATCTTGGACCCTGCTGATTTCTCCTCTGCAGTAAAACTAAAACTACACCTTTCTTGGCCCATGTGATGGTGTGCGGGGCTAGGCAGATAGGTGAAAACCCTTACGCAGAGCGCCTGCCGGGCCAGACTTGTACGTAGTTTAACTACTTTACTCAAGTTACTGTAGTTTAACTACTTTTCTGGGTAGTTTAGTAACTTTTAATTACATTTATATTCTAGTAATTCGTAGTTTGCTTTAACTACTTTTCCGAGTGACTTCCACCCAAATTACAAATTACTTTCTAATTTTAGTGGTTGTTTTGCCTATCAACAGACAAAAGATGTCGGAAGGTCAGCTGATATTTGCAGAGGGGGAAGCATGCGGAGTAGAAAAGGGGGGGATGGGAAGGAAGAAAGTGATTTAGATAGTCCAAAAAACCCCAAAATTTTAACGAGCCCCCCCACTGCAACAACACTGCTACGAGGCGCGGGGAGCGAACAGCAGTCTTGTGCACGTTACTAAAAAAAAGTAATCGATTACAATTACTATTACTCTTGGCTAAAAAGTATTCGATTAGATTACTTGATTACTCGACGGCAAAAGTAATTGGACATTACTTAAAGAAGTAATCGTTACTTCTCCGATTACTTTATTGTGTGAAGACACATCTTTAGCGCTCATAACAATGAACTACTTCCAACCTATATTTCACATTTGCACAAGTATTGAAGAAGAAAAACTGGCTCCCTCTTCGTGGTCGTTGCACCTTCACAATGCGGACACAAGCATAGAATTCGTTTGAAGACGTTTAATGATTTGGGCGTTCGCCAGTGTGTGCGTGAGGGGGAGGGGGGAAGCGTAGGCGGTTCTAGATCTTGTTAAGCTTGAGCAAGGGTTGTCGCTCAAAGTTTGCGTCGCTCATTTTATTATTCACATGTGGATGAGCTCGCATGTTATACAAAATAGCACCAGCTCTAGGATTTGAAACGGATCATGTGTAGTATCCATTAGCGGAAGAGATCGCCCCGACCACTTCTCAACTCGAAACATTGCTTGTCACAAGAACCACGTAGGG